TTCTATATGAAGCTGACTTCGACATTTTGTTTTAATAAAACTTAGTATCGAAAAGTTTCTTTAAAAATTTGACTAGGCTATATTATACTGGTTCGTTGAAGCCATTTTTCAAAACTTACAATACGAACAGGCGAACCAAAGAGAATACAAAAAATTTCTTGCTGTGAATTTTCAGAGCTATATATTTTTAGTATTCATTACAAAATTTTACTAAAAAGGACTGCGTAGTAGGAAAGTATATTGTAAATGAAATTGTATAAAACAAGTACAATTGTACCAAAAATGCCAACACTGTTCTGTATCATACTTTTTTTTCTTTTTTTCTTTTTTACTTTTTTACTCTTATTTTATCTTTCAGCTTCGCTAAAAGCACTTCTACCAACGCTTGGCTTACCAAATTTATGCCAGTTGATCAAATTTTGCGATTTAAATTCATTTTCAATAATGTAAATAACGATTCGTGTTGAATCGAAAATCGCCTCGTCTGAATAGGGATGGCAACTTTTTCACTTTCAACTTCTCATTCAACTTCGTATTCAACTTTTGTTGCCTGTAAAATCGCCTCGTGCGAATGCCCTATTACGGTTATGTAATCCACACAATAAATACTCTAGATGTTGTTGTTGATGTTAGCGCTACTGCTGCGGTCGCTGCTTATGCCGCTGACGTTGCTGCTGTTATCGATCACGATTCGAGACCTTATGCAGTTGTTAAACTATTGTTGTGGGCAGTTGTTGTTGTTGGAGTGGGTGTTGGTGTTGATGAGGTCGCTGATAAGTCAATTATGTGTGTAAAAACCGCCAACGTAATTGATAACTTATCCAAAATGTAAACTTTCTCGCTTTCAATTTCCTTTAGTGTCTTTTCTTTGCCAAAATTTGCTTTCTTTTTTTACTTTTCTTAACATTCGCAACACTGTACTTAACATTGGCTTCAATGGCAATCGCAAGGTGTACTGTACACCGTGGACATCAATTTCAGCATAAGCTTTTTGCGGCTATTTCGTACGTATACGAGGAGTTAATTGCCTCAACTGCCGCTCCAAATTTCACTAAATTGCTGATGTTAACAAAGAGACGGCCAGTCTTGCACTCTTCCCGATTTAGTTAAAGCGCTGGAAGCCCAAACGGATCTGTTAACAATGTGAGCTGTGTTGGTAGTGATGGTACGCCTTGAAAAGGAGTTGTAGAGCTTAAAGGATCTTTAGCGGAGCAACAGGGCTGCTGATTGTTTAACTTCCGTAGGTGTGTAGAATTTCGGCGGTTCTAGTGGCGATGCTGTGTTACTCTCCTATATTTTTAATCCTTAATTACCAATAAATTGGTCAGCTGCTCCTGGCAGGATCGCCAATTGTGGTGTGGTTAAAAATTTTAATTAATGTATTTCAATTATCTATTTAACAAAAAAATATTACATGCTTTCAGAAAGAAGAAAAATTCTGAAGTAATCAAATATTTTCTTTTTGATTTACATTAATTGAAAAAGAACTTAATTCAATAATTCAAAAATAACAAAGTACAAAAATGAAGAAAGTACAATAGTAAATAGTATTAACCCTACAACTACCTTCTTAGGTGCCCAGCGTTTGCGAGGCTAAGGTTGAAGTACTTTGGCTCTCACTTTCTAAACAGCCCCGAGGAGCTCTGGGGCATTGATATCAGCCGTATTAGTAAATACATAATCGGCTCGGAGCGTGTTAACGATAAAGTTTAGGGGGCCTTTCCAAATTGTGGTATCACAAAGGACAATCTTACATTGTCTAAGTGAGCTCCGGTTACACGGGGCTGCCACCTTTTCTAACCTAACCTAACTATAACAGGTTGGAAAGCGCACAGAAATGTTTGGGTAAGTAAATTTTCATATTTATTTAGCAAATTTATGAAAAATAACAATTATATATTAATTTACATACATATCGAGCCCTAACCGCCAAAATAACGTAGGCGACATTTTTTTCAAAAATTTCTTTTTGATGCAGATATATTTCTAGAGCATCTAGATACATTTCTGCATCAAAAAGAAAATTTTGAAAAAAATGTCGCTTACGTTATTTTGGCGGTTAGGGCTCGATATGTCTTTCATTTTACAGGAAAAAGCCTGCATCAGGTCAGAAGAAAATTTCGAGGTAAGTTTTACTCGATCATCTACATACATATATGTACGTTTTCTAACCTCAAATCTGTTTAGCTATTTTTTGCAAGACCACGGCCGGGCCCACAAAACACAGCACGAAGGCGGGAAAAGTAAAATGTCAAAATAATTTCTAGTTATTCTGATGAGTTTGTTGCGTCTGGAGATGATCCGTTTGCTGTTGGTGGTGGAGGTGATGTTGTTGCGCTTCCTGAATATTCAAAATATTTTGGAGATGGTGCATTTGCGATTGATAGAAGTGGTGGAGATGTTTCTGCGATTCCTGAATCTCTTGGCTATTATGCAGATGGTGCGTTTGCTGTTGATCGAGGTGGCGGTATGTTGCTCCGATTCCTGAATCTTCAAGTTATTATGAAGATGGTGTATATGCTGAATCTGTAAGCTATTATAGAGACGGTGGGTTTGCTGTTGGTGGAGGTGGCGATGATGTTGTTGCGATTCCTAAATCTTCAAGTTATGAAGATGGTGCATTTGCTATTGCTGATGAAGCTACCATCCAGTATTGCACTTTCTATCGATTTAAGTGATTGTGCTACGTCAATTAATGCTTCCACTAGCACAAGAAAGAATTTTCAACAAAAGTTTTTGGAGCGGTGGCTGGAAATGTTTACCTGGCTGGAATGTATAACAATATTGCAAAAAACAAATACAAAATGTTACAATGTGATTTTATATAATTTTTAATAAGAAATGCATTTTATGAAAATGCTAATAAGTACAAAATGTAACAATGTGATTATTTAAAAACTAATATGTATTGAAATTGCATATACAAGTTATCTTACCTGTAATACCAATACCGATCAATGGCGCACCCTTTACTCACGTTGCCAGGCATGTGACCATATTGTTGCACTTACTAACTTTGCTGACGCGGCACACGCGCAACCACCGATCAGGTCAAGTATCGGAATTATTGAAATCATGGGAATTGCAATATAAGCAATTCCTGTCTGCACGCGCAAACCCCAACTTGCGGAATGTGGGAACTGCAACCTTAGCATAATTAGTTAGGAGTAAGAGGTTAGCCAGTAAGTCAATTCATATGTTTTAGGCAGTTAATTTTGGGTCGTGCAAGCGACACATAATAAATTTTGATAAGCTCAACTCGAGTTGTCCGTCTTTTAATTACGGTTTGAATAGTATCGGCGAACAGTGGGTTCGCCGCACCTTTAATTTTTTATATCTCTCGCGACACGAGAGATTAACTGGCGCCCTAGCGGTTCGGTGCAGGGTCCGCCAAAGTCAATAAAAAAAACAAAACGCTGTGAAAAAGGAAAAAAAACGTTCTGTCTTAATCCGGAAAAAAATTGTGGAAAAAACTACAAGAAAGAGTATAAGTAAAAACTGTGAAAAAATTGTGAGAATACACTTAGTAGCTCCATGCGAAAGTAACTGTAATAGAACAAAAACTGTTAAAAAAAAAGGTTCCCCATAAAATTCGGAAAAATTAAGGAATATAAATAAAAACTGTGAGAACGCAAAAGTTCTATGCGAAATTAAATAATTTAAATCTGTGAAGAGAAGCGTACACTATAGAAAAAGCAAATACTCCAATGAAATATTGGACTTTGTAAGTATACAAACTGTTAAAAGATAACCTTTAATCTCGTTACAGCATGAACGCGGACGAATTTAAGAAATCCATGACGGAAATGAATGGCGCAGTGAACGCCATTCTGTCACAACTGAGAAGGTTGGAAGAACGGCTCAAAAGTGTAGAGTCGAAGACCAACGATGAGTCCTTACAAGGACTCAGTGAGAATCTAGAAAGGCTAGAGAGCCAGGTAAAGGAGGTTCGCAGGCAGTCCGCGGACCCGGAAACACGTCCGGTGGAACTGCCACTGACAAGTCCTCGGACGGAGGACGAACTTAGGGAAATTTCTAAATTGCCAGACTGCGTGAAGGAGCTTCAAGTGTTCGATGGATCCAGGGAGCATTATTCCTCCTGGGTCCATAGCGTAGAGCAGGTTTTAAATGACTACCAGGTTGTACGGCATAAACCAATCTATAGGGCCATTCTGAGGCACATCAGGTTTCGGAATTCTATGCTAAAATCAATAAGCAGTTGTCACTTATGATCTACACTATAAATACAGACAAACAGGGTTTGAAATGCTTAAGCAATATTAGCAAAAGCAACGAAAATATGCTGATACTGTGCTTCTGAAGTTGTCTTGCTTCAAAAGCAATATTCTTGCTTTTGCCTTGTCTTCAACAAAAACGAACAGCCACAGCAGCAGCACGAGAAGAGCTGAGAGGCAAACGATCATTTGTTTAGCAGCACGATAAGAGCTGAGAAGTAAACTATCGTTCGCTTTCGGCTCGAACTCGATACTTATCAGCAAATGAATTTTGCTTTTGCTTGCATATTGAAAAGCACGAAAGCAGAAGTAAAAGCAATTGATCGGCTTTGGCAGATCGTCAGTTGCTTCTGCTGTCATATTTGAAAAAATACGAATAGCCACACCAGCAACACCAAACATGCTGGGAAGCAAACGATCGTTTGCTTTTCAGCACAAACTCGATGCTTCTCAACAAATGAATTTTGCTGATGTTTGCATGATGAAAACTGTGAAAGCAGAAGCAACGGAGCGGATATGAGCATATTTCCTGTGATACGAAAAAACCAAGTAACTTGTCTTTTGTAAAATGCAGAAAAATCAAGGTTTTTTGTGTAACTAAGTTAGGTTTTTTATATCTTTTTGGTACATTGTTGTATTTCCATTTTACTTTATGCCTGCTAGAAAAAAAGGTTGTTTTTCAAGAATTCGAAAATAGAAAGCAAGATATTTACGTTTATGTATTTAAATTTAATTATTTAAAAAATTTAAAATATCAATAAACAATTAATCTTGTTCCTCATCCGGGTGTTGAAAGAGTGGCACATTGTCTATAGCAGCTTCGAGGAAGTTCGGATTCAGCTTTACTAGCAATATGTTTTCCAACGTTTCCTCACTTAAACGATTCCTGGAGTCCGTTAGTATTAGCTTAAGCATGGAAAATGCACGTTCAATCGTCACCTGTTTTGTGAAAAGACCAAACGTTTTATTGAATTCAATAAAATTTATTTTATTTGTTATATTTAATTATTTTATTTATTTATTTATTCAATAAATAAATTAATTACATTAAATAAACTAAAAGGAACTAATAAAAACTTAAAAAATAAGACTTGTAAAATATATATACACATACATATTATATGTATTAGATTGTGTCAAATAAAACGAATGCGGTAGAAAGTTTTTTTCATTGCAAATTCTTATTTTTGCGAGCGCTAATTGAAAAATGAAGATAGAGGGCTGAAATTTTGCCGACATTATTTTTTTGTAACCGACAACGAAATTATGATATGGGACCGAAAGAAAAAAACATTCGTTTTATTTGACTCAGTCTAATACATACATATATACAGTGGTCGAAGTAATTTTAGCCACACCATATTTTGACAAGTTTAAACACATTATTTTTGTTGTTATTTAATTTTGGTAATTTTTTTTTAAATAGTTCATTCTTTAACAAAACCCGTGTAGATCCAAATTTCAAACATAGTGCAATATTAAAAAAAATTCAACAAACTTTATTAAAAATTTCTAGCTTTTTTAATTGGATTTCCTAGAAAGATACCGTTGATTTTGTTTTTTAATTTTTTTTGTCGAAGATGTTACGGGTTTCTTCCATATAAAAATAAATTTTGTGTATTTTGTTATATGGAAGCAAATGTGACAAAAAAAAATCTAAAACATCTACCGTAATTTTTAGCCATTTGAAACTTGTACTTTGTTCTACTAGAATTCAATGGGCTTCAAAAGTGCATACCCAGAATCTTTCTAAGAAATCTAATTAAAAAGCTAGAAATTTTTAATTAGGTTTGTTGTTTTTTTTAATATGGCACAAAGTTGGAAACATGGATTTACACGGGCTTTGTTAAAGAATGAACTATATTTAAAAAAATAACCTAAATTACAACAACAACAATAATATGTTAAAACTTGTCAAAATATGGTGCGGCTATAATTATTTATTATTATGATATATATACCTGAGTGGGTGGTATTGCAAAGCAGACATTGCTTAACGCGTACATCTCTGGATCAGTAAACTGCTTTTCCTTCCAAAATATTAGAACGTTTGCGTCACTTCTTAGGATTGGTAGCTGCAGATTTTTAATTTTTGTATGTACATCGGTAGCAGTACCAACGTTAGCTTCAATACCTTGCGATAAATATTCGTTTAATAATTCATCTTCAACATCAAAAAATTGGTTGGGTGTTTGATGTGCACTTGAATTCGGAGTTGAATGCGCAATGCCGCCAGGGTTAGTTTCATTAATTCTATCCCATATTGTTTTTAAATATTGTGTTGCTTCCATTTTTTGGTTCGCTGTTAAGGTGTGATGGAACCGAGGATCCAAATACAAACATGAAATAAAACTGTTATTGCGCATTAACATGTTTGTTCTTTTTTCAAAGGACTGCAATATCATATCACCAATTGTTTTAATTAGTGGGTGGTTCGAATCTTTAATAATTTTTTCTGTGCATATTTTGCATTTGAGCCATTGTGCGTAGAAATTACCATAGTGAAGTTGCTCTTCTTGAAATATTTTTATAGCTTTTTGCAATGGACTAAATACGAGGCAATAGCTGTCGATGAATTCCCAAAAGGAGTCGTCAATCTCGAAATTTTCGTCTTGGGTCTAATATTTAACGGACTCAATTTTTGTTAGAACGTCTTTTGCTGCCTTCAAATTTTCTACCATTGTGAAGGTCGAACCCCATCTTGTTGGACAGTCTAGTTGCGGCATCTTCAATTGCTTCAATTCAAAAATATCTCGATATCCGTTTGTTGTTTTTCTCACATATTTTGTCAAATTACGGGATGCTAATAAGTATTTTGTTATAGCTGAGGATTTTGTCACGTCAAGAGCACAAAGTTGCGCAGTATGAGCTGCACAGCGGCAAACTTGAATGTTGCCCAATAACATATCTGGTATTTCCTCCAAAAGTTCAATTTTTTTGAGATATTCATCATTTGTGCAGTCTGCTTCATATTCTTCCGATTCTTCTTCGGAAACAAAAGATAATATTTTAGTTGCTTTGAGCATATTTGCGCCATTATCCGACGTAACTGACACTATCTGTCTTAAATCAATGTCATATTTTTTTAAGATTTTTATAATTTCGGTGGCTAGATTTTTGCTTGTACTCGATCCAGCACCCTTCAATTCTACCATCCCTAAGATGCGTGATTTTATCAGCCCATTACTTATAAATTGAGCGCTAATGCCAAAAATGTTTCGGCATAACCGCGTAGCACTGTCGATTTTTAATGAGATCAATTTTTTTTTTTACTTCAGTGCTTATGTCGTTTCGTACATTGTTTGCAACTAATTGCAACGTTTTCTTGCAGTTGGTCGCATTCAACTATATTTGTTTTCCGTCTGTGGCTTTAAGGCCTTCACAAATGGGTTTCAAAATATTTCTCATATTAGGCGAATTTAATATATTAAAAGGAATAGAATCTTCGGTGACAAGACCAATATATGCGCGGAGGATCTGCTTTTTGTTAATTTCAATTTTAATTTTCTTTTTGCGTATCACTTTTGATATAGAACTCGTCCTTGAAGTTTCGGAAGTTTCGACAGTATTTACATTGTGTAGTTTGATTAAGTGTGCTTTTAGATTTGCAATTCTATTGTTTTTAAGTTTATTTTTACATGTTTTACATGTAGCAAAACCGTCGTTTTCATTATTATCAAAAAACTTCCAAATTTCATTTTGCTTATTTCTCGCCATTGCCGTTAAAACACTAATAGCCACCGATCTATTTGACACACATTCACAAACTGAAGCAATTAAAAAGCAGAATCAATGACAAAAGAAATATGTACATAGCTTAAAACAGTCGACGGCGACAGTTACAATATTTGCCGAAGCGAAAATGATGTGCTGCTTCAACTTCGGAATTCGCCAAAAGTTGCAGTCAGTGAAACTAAAAACTGTCGAGTGCTTTGATTAGCGAAGTGCTTCGCAGTCTTTCAGCGATCAATTTTTGCTTTTTGTTCGACTGCGACTGATGCATGTGAATGCTGACGGCTTGTGAAAGCGGAACTTCTGTTTCTTCGACTGCCACTGTTGACGACTTGCAAAAGCAGAGATATTGCTTTTGCTTTGACTTGAGCTACTGACAAAAAGCATAAGCAAGGCAAAATTAAAATTTTCAAACCGACGGCTGCCGAAGGTGACGCGCATTTTATTAGTAATCGTTTTCGGCGTTTGCTTCAACTGAAGCTGCCGTTATTTCCAGAAGCATAAGCACAAGCAAAAGCAAATGAAATAAAATTTATTGCAGTTTTTTAAACACTGCAGACAAATACGTCCATGGGGAAACCGTCCAGGCATTAATGGAAGCACACCGTCGTAGGGCTCTGGATGTTTTTATTAGGGGGCTAAATGGTGATCTTCCGACTCTGTTACTTATGCAGAAGCCAAAATCCTTACCCGAAGCATATTCCTCATATCTTACCTTCCTAAACGTGGATAGACGAGACGCTATCTACCGCCCTCCACAAGCTTTAAACAGAAGTGGCCGAATGTTCGGCGATGCATATCAACCTTCAGCATCGCGTTATTTTTCGAGGGGCAACAGAGATTTTACCGAGGAATTTCAAAATCCGGCACAAAGCCAATCGGGATACAATAATGGGACACAGGCAAACAGAGGATACACAAGAAGAACCAGAAGGGGGGTTCCTATCCCTCTTACACATGCTCAGGGCAAACTAGGGGCAGCAACCAATCGACACAAAGCTGGCGTAATAACAATATATCAGGAGCCGAAAGAAGAGATACCAATCAATCTTCCCAAACCCGACAGACCTTTAGTCCAAGGTTCCCAAGATACGATGGCTTGAAGAGAGGTTCAACTTCCACGGGACTCTCAAAACAAAGTGGTAGCAAACAGCAAAAGCTATTCCATTTAGTTCCAGGGGACGAAGATGTGGTAGAAAATGCTTCCAACGAATTAAGTAACGAGCAAGTATGCGATCAGGTAAATTTTACAATAGGAGCCTCGTGTCCGGCGTACCATATCTAGAATATGATACGCGGGATCATGGCACTTTAGAGTTTTTAGTGGACACGGGAGCAAATAAAAACTACATCAGCGAACGCATCGCCCAAAACACTAGACCAGTGGATAAACCATTCCATGTCACTTCCGCGGGGGGGGGAATTTTGGTAGACAGGAAAATTTGGGAAATTTTTTTAAGTTTGTATGCAAGGACCTGCCTACTACATTTTTTGTCCTCCCTGGACTCACATCCTTCCATGGAATTATAGGCGATGACACACTTACGGAAATCAAAGCCGTACTAGACAGGGAATTAAACCTCCTTATATTGAAACCTGACATATTGCTCCCCCTTAAGCGAAAGGAAGCACAGAATGTCAATAGTATAGACGCAAGCATCCCTCTCGATCCTTATATCACTGACTCTACAAGAAAGCAACTCAACAGCATATTGAATAGATACGAAAATTTATTTGGTCCAGTTGATCGGTGCCCAGAAATCGCTACCAACGTACAGGCAGAAATAAGGACTAACACAGAAACGCCCATTTACACGAAAAGCTACCCCTACCCCGTCAACATGCGCGGCGAAGTCGAGAGGCAAATTCAAGAACTCCTTTCAGAAGGCATTATTCGTCCTTCGAAAAGCCCATATAACTCTCCCATATGGATTGTCCCAAAAAAATCTGGCTCAGACGGGGAGAAGAAATATCGCATGGTAATCGATTTCAAAAGGCTGAACGCCGTAACCATCCCCGATACATATCCGATTCCAGATATCAACGGCACTATCGCTAGCCTCGGTGATGCCAAATACTTTACCACACTAGATTTAACTTCAGGATTCCACCAAATCCCAATGAAGGAGCGGGACATTCCGAAAACGGCGTTTTCTACTATGAATGGCAAATATGAATTTTTGCGGCTCCCCTTCGGGCTTAAAAATGCACCCTCGATCTTCCAACGGATGATCGATGATGTCCTCAAGGAATTCATAGGTCGCGTTTGTTTCGTGTATATTGACGACATAATAATTTTTAGCAAAGACGAGGCCACCCATTTAAAGGACATCGAAACAATCCTCTCCAGACTCCTAGCCGCAGGGCTCAAAGTTAAACTTCAAAAACCGCAATTTTTGAAAAAAAAGTGTAGAATTCCTGGGCTACATCGTAACCTCGGAAGAAATATTACCTGATCCGAAAAAAATTAATTCAATTAAAAACCTGTTGCCACCTTCAAATTTGAAGGAGCTTAAAAGTTTTCTGGGGCTAACATCCTATTACAGAAAGTTTATCCGCGATTATGCGAAAATCGCGAAACCACTTACCAACCTTACGAGGGGAGAGCATGCGCAAGTCAAAGCAACCCAATCCAAGAAAGTACTAATAACACTAAATAAAGACGCCCTTAAGGCATTCGAGAACCTCAAGGAAGTGTTAACCACTTCAGAGGTCCTAACGTTTCCCAATTTTGAAAAGACGTTTAACTTAACAACCGATGCCTCTGACTATGCAATTGGCGCAGTACTGTCTCAAGACTACGACGGTAAAGAACACCCAATAGCGTTTATCTCGAGAAGTCTTACGACCACAGAGGAAGGCTATGCGACGAATGAAAAGGAGATGCTCGCCATAGTCTGGGCGTTAGATAACCTTCGAAATTATTTATATGGTGCAAGAAAAATACGCATATTTACGGATCACCAACCGTTAACTTTCTCCCTTAGCAATAGGAATTACAACGCTAAGCTTAAACGTCGGAAATCCCGAATCGAGGAGTACAATTATGAGCTTGTCTACAAACCTGGGAAGTCAAACGTCGTGGCCGATGCCCTTTCTCGGCTCAAAACACAAGTAAATCAATTGATGGATTCTATCCTCCCTGCATCCGAGGTCGCTAGCCAAGCTGCAACTATGGGATCAGATCCCGATGCTGCAAGTGTGGGCGAATCTACGTGCGATACGGCTCATAGCGCGGATCAAGATAATACAGATTTAATTCCATTCGTCGAGGCACCACTAAACGTCTTCAGGAATCAAATAATATTTGGAAGAGGGCTTCAAATCTACGAAGAACCACATCCTGGACATTCACGCCACTACGTAGGGATAGAAAATGCTTCTCAAGAAGAACTCACCACAATATTAAAGGAAAAACTAAACCCAAATGTAGTAAATGGTATCAAAATTCAAGAAAATTTATTGGGTTTACTTGAAAAGGTGTATTTAGAACATTTCACCAACTATAAAATTCGTATAGCGCAGACGGTCGTTAAGGACTTGGCAAATCCAGATGCAGTATGCGAGGTAATAATGAAGGAGCACAAAAGAGCTCACCGCAATGCTAGCGAGAATAGAAAACAGATTTTAGAGCAGTACTACTTCCCGAAAATGAGCAGCCAGATTAGGAAATATGTGCTGGCTTGTGAGACCTGCAAGCTTAGTAAGTACGATAGGCATCCTAATAAGCCAGAATTACAAGTTACACCAATCCCTTCACGACCATGTGAGATCCTTCATATAGATATTTTTGAGATTCAAGGAGAGAAATTTTTAAGTTCTATTGATAAGTTTTCGAAATTTGCAAAGCTTTTCCATATTAAAAACAAAGGAACCCTGCACCTTAAACAAAAAATAGTGAAACTTCTCCACTATTTTACAACCCCAAAAATTTTAGTTACGGACAACGAACGTGGATTTATTACCCCAGTAATACGGAATCTATTAGAATCTTTAGGAATTCAGCTTTACCGCACTCCTTCTCAGAGGAGCGAGGTAAATGGCGAAATTGAGAGATTCCACTCTACACTATTAGACATTTATAGATGCCTAAAGGCGGAAAACACGGATCTCATGACCAAAGAACTCGTTAGTATAGCCGTAGATCGTTATAATAATTCAGTTCACTCGGTCACAACCAAGAAACCATCCGAAATATTCTTCAATCGCTCAGAAGCCTCTAACTACGAAGAACTCCTTGATAAGAGCAGAAAGATGAATAGGTTTATTAGAACACTCTTAAAAGAAAAACAAATAGCACAAATAAAAAGACACAATAAGAAAAGGACTCTACCAAAACATTATAAGGAAAACGACGTTATATACGTCAAAGACAAGCAAATTAAAGGAAAACAGAGACCCCTCTATAAAAAATAAATAGTCA